ACACTAAACGTAAAAAATAATGAGGAATGGATACAGTACAGTAAAAGTAATAAATAATGAGGAATGGATACAGTGTGACTGAGCACTTACCTTAAATGTAGTCAGCTGAATGCACACGGGGCCCCCATAATTTTCTATTTACAGGATACATGGAGACTATATTAATTGGAAGAAGCAGAAGAGGAGACAGGGCTGGGTGGGTCATCAATGTCGCTTCCTTCAGACAGGTTTATGTGCTGTGGTAACTTGCTGGTTGAAGGTATTGGATCATCTTGAGGGAGTGAAGAGGCAGCACTGGTGGGGCGTGAGGAGCCAGTACTGGGGGACTTCTTGAAATAGGTGTCCAATTTAGACTGCACAGTTTGCTTTTTCTTTTCATTATAAATTTCTCTGTAGCAAGCAAGTGAATCTTGGATCATTCTGTCAACTTTGGCATAACGCTCATAATTTTGATCCATGTCATCAAACATTTGCATTGCTTTATTAATTGTAGCAAATGCCTCTGCCATATGTTTCACTGAAAACTTTTTGGGGGGTGCAGGCTCTTCTTCTACATTTTGTCTCTCTTCTTCCTCTGCAACTTTCTGTGCATCTAGTTCAATAAGATCCTCGTTACTGAGCTCTTCTGCTACACTTTCAACCAACTGTCCAACATCTTCAGTATCAATTTCTAACTCCAGCTGTTTACCTAACTCCACTATCTTGTTACTAATATCCAAAATAACTTCATTTTCATTAAATCCTTTGAAAGTGTGCACATATCTTTTCAGGATGTTCTTCCATATTCCATTCATGCAATGTTTTGTAACCTGATCCCATGCTGTACTAATGTTCTTTATACATGACAAAATGTTGTACTCCTTCCAAAACTGTCTGAGCGTTTTCTCACCTTCAGTAGCAGCAACAGCCTGAGCGAAGGTCGTGCGTAAATAATACGCTTTAAAGGCAGAAATAGCACCTTGATCCATGGGTTGGATGATAGAGGTAGTGTTAGGTGGAATGTACACTACCTTAACATCAGGGTGCATGTCGTCCAGGTGTGGTGGGTGTCCCGGAGCATTATCCAAAATCAGTAAAATCTTGAATGGAATCCTTTGTTGCAGACAATACTCCTTGGCTCGTGGAATGAAACAAGTCATGAACCAATCCTCAAATAGTACTAGGGTCATCCAGGCTTTCTTGTTACTGCGATAAAACACTGGCAGTGTGTGCTTGCTGACATGTTTAAAAGCCCTGGGGTTCTCTGAATGATAGATCATGAAGGGCTTTAGCTTGAAACCAGCAACATTCCCCCCCAACAGAAGTGTAATTCTGTCCTTGAATGCCTTGAATCCGGGCATTTTTTTTGCCTCTTTGTGGATGTATGTCCGGTCAGGCATGCGTTTCCACAATAATCCAGTCTCATCCACATTGAATATTTGCTCTGGCAAATAATTCCCTTCCACAATCACATCATCTAACTCCTCCTTAAAAGCTTCGGCAGCACCAACATCGGCACTAGCTGCCTCTCCACTCACCTTAACACTGTGTAGACTGTAGCGTTTTTTAAATCTATCAAACCACCCTTGACTTCCTGTAAAGGTTTGATCACATTCATCTCCTGCCTGCTCCTTCAGGCTTTGGAACAGGCTTCTTGCTTTAGCCTGTATGGTTAGAACACTTAAGGGTACACGCTTCTGCATCTGGTCTTCTATCCATATCACCAATAATTTTTCCATATCGTGGATAGGACCTTGTCTTTTCTTTGATATTATAGTTCCCTTTATAGGTGTTGTTCCTTTCACTACTTCACGAATACGTTCCTTGTCCTTCAGAATAGTGGATATAGTCGAGTGTGAGAAACCTAGGTCGCGTGAGATCGTTGCTACTGTTTTTCCATTCTCATACTGTGTTATTATCTTCAGTTTCATCTCAAAAGTAATTGCCTGTCTCCTTTTCCTTGGAGTACCACCAGCACTCTCACTTTTACGCTTTCCAGTCATTATAAAGTCAATTAAATACAATAATAACGAAAGTTCACAGCGCGATCAGTATAGGATACGATAGCCAAACACAAACAAAGCGCTCCACTGAGTGAGTGTACCCACGAGGCGACCCAAGCCACCCCTCCCTCTCGCCCGGGACGGAAACGTTTCGGTATAGAAAATGCGCGCGTCATTTGAAAAAATTTTTGGTCACGACGGTCGCAGTCGTATGTCCCGTATGGACGTACGGTCAAAGCAGGTCGTAAGTACCAATGTATAATGAGTTTTAGATTTACGATTTATATGTTTTGCATCTCTTAAAATTTCCAGCCTCTTAAGAATAGCAATTTTCATTACCATTTTCGTGAGTCAATGGAGAGTGGGCAGCGCACATTGTCGTGGTCTTTTGTTATCCGCCGTGTTTATTTTTTACGGCAGTTAGTTTGAATGAGTGAGAGCAAGCAGTGCAGTGACCTTGGATTATATAACCCACTGTGCTTACGCTTTACGAGATTCTTGTTTAACTATTGATGTCTCTTGTGTATTAGCAATTCTTGTGTATTAACGATTAGTGTGGGGCATACTGTAAATGTCTGGAGCGGTTCTGGTGACAATGATGGCTATAGAGAAGGTCAACAAGGAAAGCCCCAAGCCAAATATAACTGCCGTAAGGGGGTCAAAGAGAGGAAATACACCTTTTAAATGATACGAAAGATGCCTTTGATGATCAAAAGTGGTGCTTATACCTGTGAAATCATGCGTAGGTTCAACTGCCCCAAATCAACCATAAATTCCCTTAAGAAGAACAAGGAGGCCTTAACTGCTTCTGTGAATGTATTCTCAAGATTTTCTAGAAGCAGGACGTTCTCCAATACTTCACAACGAAACCTACTGTTAGTTATCACAGAACATTACCTTCACAAGTGGGTGGAAAGAAGAAACCGTGAGCAAGGCGACCTGTCTGGGCCACAGATAAGGCATCAGGCCTGTGTTTATTATGCTGCAGTTACACAGAAGAAACGCATTAACTCTCCACCACAGTTCAATGCTTCTGTTGCTTGGTTGGCTGCCTTTAAGAAGTGTTTCCCCACTACCATGGGGAGAGTGCATCGGCTGATGACGTAGCAGCAGAAAAATGTCTCCCTGTCTTTCAAGCTCTGTGAAAGAGGGTGGTTATTGCCTAGACCAAATCTTCAATTGTGATGAAACTGGCATTTTCTGGAACCGATCACCTAAGACTATCTTCATTGCCAAGGATGAAAAACAGGCAAAGGGTGTAAAGACTTCAAAAGACAGGATTACAGTTTTATTCACAGTTAATGGTAGTGGAGATTTTTTGATGATACCCCAGGTTGTTAACCGTGCTGCCCGTCCTAGAGCCTACCGGAATGCCCATATGTCACAGTTCAATGTTTATTGGACGTCTAATAAGAAAGCTTGGGCTACAACGTCTTTATGCACCGATTGGTCTGACTAGCACTTTGTTCCTGACGCCCAACAGTACTGCCGGAGGAAGAACATTGTCTTCAAAGTGATCCTGGTGGTGGATAATGCTCCTGGACGCCACCCTAGTTATCCTTCCTCCTAACACCACATCGTTTCTGCAGCCACTTGACCACGAATTCATCAGTAATGTTAAACTGTGCTACTTTCAGTCACTCTATAAAGACTTTCCTCAGTAGACAGACTCATTAGTCGAGTTACAACAAATCGAGGCAAAACTCTCTGACAGTGACCAGGCTCTACCAGGAGGAGGAGGAGGCGATGGTAGATGACCCGACTCCTAGCACCCCACCACCCCGCAATCGTGAAGTGTTATCAGTTTGTGAATTTTGGAAGAAATATAATATTAAAAATGCAGTGGACAGAATTGTTGAGGCATGGCGTAAGATTAATATTGCAACAGTCGCATGTAAGCCTTTGTTCGCTAACTCCGAGGTAAGTGGGGCAGAGCAGACTGAAGCAAGCGGGGAGAGGCAGTCTGTGGCGGCAACACTATTGGACACGGTCGAGGCAGCGCGATCATTCTCAGCACCGGGATTTTCAAATGTTCAAGTTAAAGATTTGCAAGAAATCATTTGTCAACATCAGCATAAACTGACAATTGAAGAAATGTTGGAGGATGAAGAAGAAGAGCAGCGAGCAACACAAGAGGATAACGTTAAGCCTGGTGAACCTACAACACGCCGGCTGACTGAGTTGCTCACAACCATTGAACGTTTCGGTGAACAGCTTGAAGAATATGATACCAGGCCTCATGCTCAGAACCATATCTGCCTTGTCATTAATAAAATAGGAATATAAGGCCATGTACGTGTACCATGTTAATGCTCGTCAGCAGGCCCTTATTACTGTACAGGGTATTTGGTACCTGCGCAAGGCCCAGCCTGTTAATGCCTTGGCAAACATCACTTTAGGAGATGATGATGGCATCACCGATGATGATATTGAAGTGTTGGGTGACTTACTGGTGGAAGAGCTGCCTCAAGACTTTGAGGGATTTGATACTGAGGTGTAGAGGAGGGAGCAGGGAGGAAGCAGTAACCAGTCCTCCCTGCCTCAGAACCCATCAACCAGCCCCGTCAAGCATTTTACTGACTCCATCAAGGTAAGTTATTTTACAGTATGAGTGTATATAAATATTGTTATCAACAGTATGTCCAATATAATATGTATGAATACATTACTGTAATGTCATTTTCTTGGTGGGTTGTAGGTCATTATGGAGGGGTTTGGGTGACACTGCAGAACTGATTAGGCTTATTTATATGTACTGTATTTCAACGTTACTCATTTTGCAATTTTAAATTTCGCCAAGCTAAAACTGGTACCAATTACTGTAGTTGTGAAGCTTGAGAATCTACTGTACTGTACAGTTACACTGTGTTCATCACTTAAAGTGGACTGCAAAATGAATTTTATTACTACAGGTACTGTAATTAACTCTAAGGAAAAAGGTCATTTCATGCTGTTTACCAAATTTTGAATTACTGTACTCTAATTGGTTACCAGGAATTTAATCATGGCACTTTTCAGGTGAAGATGCACTGCGAGTACAGAAGACTGTGATGAGAAGAGCCCATGAGGGTTATGAAGCTCGATTGCTGACTCAAAATGGAAGTCCTCTTACCAAACCCAAAAAAGTGTATTGTTATGTCACACCAAAACAGCTCATCATCAAAGAATTCCTTTTGCGGCTCATACCAAAGAGAGTTTGTACATTTCGCTTGTGTCCTTCCACAAAGTTTCACTTCACCGGTACCAATAATCAAAGTGGGCTTCCAACAATGAGTATTGATGATGGTTGTCAACCTCTTGTATTTCTTGCTGGTAAAGATAGAAATGTAATTGCTGCAACATTCACCCAGTTTATGTTAAAAAATATTGGTGGTTCCGAAACCTTTAAAGACAAACAGGATCACTTCTACCATGAGGTGCGAAAGTTTCACAGCAAGCGTATGCATGACAGAATTCAGATCACTGTAGCAAGAGAACGACTTTTAGAAACTTCAATGAAAGCTACCAAAAACTTTACTGTGGCAGATTGGTGTAAAAACTTCGAAATAACTTTCCAGGGGGAAGAAGGATTAGACTGGGGGGGAGTGAGACGTGAATGGTTTGAACTAATATGTGCCCAATTATTTGATAACAATAATGGACTCTTTGCCAGTTTACATGAAGGAAGACAAGCTTTAGTGCATCCTGATCCATACAGACCACCTCAGATGAAGCTCAAACATTACGAGTTTGCTGGAAGAGTTGTAGGAAAGTGTTTATATGAATCTGCTCTTGGCAGTGGCTATAGGCAAACAGTGAGAGCAAGGTTTACACGTTCTTTTCTGGCACAGCTGATTGGTCTCCGAGTACATTATAAGGTTAGTGTTTTTCTCGTGTTATGATAAATATTGCAAGTAATCGTGTCATCTTATTAATATTTCATAATACATTGGTGCTTATTTCTTTACAAATTTTATTCACACATCTATCAGTAATTCTTAAACATTGTAAAGGTAGAGTACAAAGCAACATTTAGACAAGTGCAATACAGTACTTTCTCAGATAACTTACTAAGAAAAAAATTTGACCTGAAATTTAATTACCAAGACTTGAGAAATAAAACTTTCTCGCACACAGCACTTTGCTCAGGATGACCCAGAGTTACATAGCGGGAAAATCAGACACCTCCTGGACTATGGCGTGGATAAACTAGAAGATGAACTCTCCTTCACAGATGAGGTTCTACTTCCTTCTGGACAAGTTAAAGTATGTTTATCATTATGACTGTGTTATAGTCATGTGAAACCTCATCAATATAATTTGTGTAATTATTTTCTTTTTCTCAGATTGCCTCAAATGTACTGTCTGTACTGCCTCTTCATTAAAACCTAAACTGTTTGTCCTAGTTACCCTTGTGGAAAAATCCATAAATTTAGGCTTTTTCAGTTTACCTACACAAAATCTAGTTTTTGCTTATCATACCTCCTTAATTCCATAAAATAAAACCATTGGAGCTAACAGAATTTTTAGTGAAATGAACTTTATAATTAAGTTAGAAAGATAAGGTTGCACTTTACTTCAGGAGCAATTTTGAATCACTTCTAATATGATGTAAGTTCATTACTGTATAGGGACACTTAATTCTGATCGATTGTACAGGATGATTGAAAATAATGTTAAACCTGTTGGCAAAAGAGATAGGGAAAAGAACTTTCTTTCCCAGTAGAAAAAAAATCTTTATGGAAGGTGTTTGACAATCTGATCCTAGAACTTTTATAGTAACTTCTCCATGTTATGAGAACCACCTGACTGAAACATAGTTATCCAATTAAGAAGGATTGTTAATGAAATACATTTTTCTAATTGGAACCTGAAGCTAGGTTGGCATTTGGCCAGCTGGAACTCAATTTGATCAGCTGTCATCAGCTCTGTGGTATGTTGACATAACATGACCATTGGGTGCTGAATAGGGCAGTCTCAACTGTGTCTTGTCACCCATACTTGAGTCTGGTGATCCTGGAGATAGAGAAGGATGATCAGTTTAGCCAAAAAGCATAACAGGCTGCCCAAAGGACTCAAAGATCTCATAGCAAGTCATTCTGTGTTATGAGACCCAGCTGGCTTCAAGCTGTGCCAGAAAAAAAAAAAGGAGTTTTAGGACCAGTCCTCTTATTTTTTTTACTGTACTTGTTAAATACAAAAAAGTTTATAATATTTCATTGCAGGTAGTAGAATTAGAACCAGGGGGAATGAACCGTATAGTGACTAACAACAATAAACTGCAGTACTTGGATGCCCTAGCTCAGTATCGTCTCTCTGTGAGGGTAAGGCACGAAGTGGATGCTTTCTTGGCCGGACTCAATGAAATCATCCCAGACAACCTACTTTGTATCTTCGATGAAAATGAATTAGAGGTAAGGCAACTTCCTGAACTATATAAGCATACTTCTTACAGCACTCCAGATATGAGGAGCTCCAAACCATACTCTGCCAAGTGCCAAAATAGAAAATGGAGGAATGTGTGACATACAGTACTGTACTCTTTTCAGAGGATTCTCACCCACATTTGCATGTTCCTAATTGGCTCTCTTGACATACCCAATACCCAGGGGACAGAGGAAAGGTCGGGGAATGCAGTACAATACAATACAATACAGTACATAACACAGTAGCTGTATATGGCTCCAAGTAGGTTATGGTCTAGACTCTAGAGAAATAGCTCTATTAAAGGTTGGTACAACCTGGTTTCGGTAGAGATGGGTTTGTGACATTGCTATTTCTTTCTTATGGATGGTATATGGGGGCCTCATTAATAGCACTCATAATGTTGCTGCATAAATGATAAATGAACTAAAAAACATTGTAAATTAAACAAAATTAAGTGATACTGGACATAAGATAATGCAATAAATTATGTACTCCTCAGTGTATTTGGTCGTTTACTTGCATAAGATTAACCACCATCTGTCATCACTCCTAACACAATCCTATTCCTCTTACATGGAAGCTGTGGAAAAGAGTGAGAGGAACTACTGCCAGGGGTATGGGCTAGGTTGTAGCTCATCATTCTTGGAACTTGATTTCAGGGTGGTTCCTGAAAAGTTTTAATTATTCATGAAATAATAAAAGTGCTACAATCTTTTTTTTCTTTTTGCATTTGTAAGTTGGTATGAGGGGCTCCCCCCCCCCCTGCATTGTAAGGGTTACTCGAGCCAAAATTTGAAAGCCGCGAAAACCACGTTTAAAGTTTTTCCAACTTCTAACAGGCATAGCTTTGTTGTTTTTTGAGATACAGCATTAATTTTTATGCATTTTGAAGCTAAAGGACTGCACTTGCTAGTGGTAGATAGTGCATTGTGAAGTAATTTACTGGGTTGTTACAATGTTGGCTTGAAGCAACAAAACTCCCACCTGTTTATGGCTCTTTTTTTTTTTACTTTAATTGATATCAGAGTGTAGATCCCGCCACAACAAAAGAGAACTGAGGGAGAGGAAGAGAGGGATTCCATGCTTATTGGCTGGAGGGGCTGTGACGTTGATAGCAGACGCTCACTGTCATTGGCCGAGACAAGGGTGGAGGCTGCGGGCTGGCCGCTGTGATTAGCCGCCCGCTGCTCTCACTTTTTCACTGACGAGACAAGAGCGCCTGACGACACGAAAGCCAAGCCCATACTTCCCTGTTGGCCACAGATCGATGTTGCACCCTATTTTCAAAGAGCTTTCAACCTTATTTACAGTGTAGTAAGGAGATATTATCCACTACCATTGTATAGAGCTAGGCTGAAAATAGTGCTTTCCAACAAAAAACAGGTTTTGCCTGGGGTGTTCCGAGTTACCCTTTACATTGCGGGGGGCTTCGTATAACCATGAAGTGTTTGTATCTGACATTAAATTTTTTTGAAAATCATAAATCTCCTCCAAATTGAATTTTTTTTCTCCAAAAACTATGATTTTTCATAAAATTATCAAGATTATTTTTTCAAAGAATAATGGTTCAAAATGATACTAATTGCATGCCAAAAGTATAAATTTTAATATATACCATATTTTATGGCATATAAAATGAATGGGCATATAAGACACACACTCCATTTCACTTGGAAATATTTAGGAAAATTTTTTTGTGTATTTTCCTCCTGCAGCCATAGTTTTGTTAAAATAACATACATCATACAGGCAGTCCCCAACTTACAACAGGGACCCTGGACCCTGATCATAAGTCTATTTGTTTATAGGTCAGAATGGTGTTAATTTCATAGTTAAGTTTAGGTTAACGTACAACATTGCCCATACAAAACAACAATAAAATCCCATGCATAACAAATAATGTAATACTGTAAATAAAATGATGTTAAACAATGTAGAATAATGAAAATTACATAAAAAAGGGGCATATTAATTACAGTAGAACCTCGATAAATCGAACTAATTGGGGCAGATCCCAGTCTGAAAAATGCGAAAGTCCGAAAAAAGTGAATATATGAAGGGCAGGGGAGGAGTTGGTGATAACACTGCTTATCTGAACTGTTTAAAGAAAATCAGTTGTTGTTATGTTATTACTGCACTTCAACAACTAAGGTCTTTAAGTGTATAACAAGGTTATTAAAAGAATATTACTTCAACAATAAATAAATATTAAACGGAACTCTCTGGGTTGAAAATCAGACATGTAAATCTGGTTGTCAACAACTCTGTTGTTACCGAGGTGATTGTTATTTACTGTAAAGTGTTATACAGTATGTAAGCAACCACAGAAATTGACTTATGAATAAAGAGAAAACTGTATGATGTACTGTACTATAAATATAAAAATAAGAACAAATAAGTGTTGGAGTTTATTGTATGTGGGAGATGAGTGTTTATCTGGGAGCAGCTGGCAGAGGGGAGGGGGATAGCATGAGTGGGTGGCTCCCTCCTCCTCTCTACCACAAGATTCCTTTAACACTTCTTTATGCATTTCCACCAAAATTCTCATATAATGAGCAAACAGCTGATTGGCTTACCACAATTTCTGTCTTCAACACTTAATAAATTAGTAAAGTACAGTTGTGTACAGTGACCCCTCGTTTAACGAACGCCTCGGTTAACGAACTGCCTTCCATAAGGATCTTCAATTCGGTTAACATGTTTTCGCTTGCACTGACCAGGCAACCAGCTTTAGTGTCAGTCCGCCAATACATTAATCGGTTCTAGGGCTTAAATTCCTTACTATTTTAGTAAATATCAAGAAGTTTATACTTTTCAATAATTTTAAAAGTTTAATATTCAATTTTTTAGTCATTTTAACAATTATTGAACATAATTGAAGGTAAAGTGACTAGTTTAATGCGTGGCATCCAGCCTCTTAACACAGCAAACAGGCGTTAGTCTCTCTCTGTTTTCACTGGAGGTAACATCTTGCTTGAGACTCTCTTCAACTAAACGCTTTTTTTCTGTGTTTCCAAGCAAATTATTGGTCATTTTGAAATATATTTTACATATTGACAATATATAATGCGGTGCAGTGTTGATTTAAAGAAAATAATCTTGAATTACACCAAGAGAGCTAAAATTTTATGGGTGAAATGGCGCCGTGGGGTGACTTCTCTTCCACCCTAATGCCTTCTCTTCTTCCTTCTCCTCCACCCCCATTCTAAATCCCATCATCATCATCATCATCATCATCATCATCATCATCATCCAGGAGCCTTCTACATACACACTTCAAAGTAAGTGAACCTTTCTACCATTTTTGTTGAATTTAGGACATTTTCGGTGAGCTGGAACCAATTACCCAAAAACCCATTGAAACAATGGTTTCGGTTAACGAACTTTTCGGTTAACGAACGACCTTCTGGAACGGATTAAGTTCGTTAACCGAGGGGTCACTGTATTTATCATCACTAATGCAATGTATTTATCACCACTTAATAAATACTATCGTAGTGTATTTATCATCACTTAAGTAATATTGTAGTGCAAAGTATTATGTATCTGCATATACCCTGTTTTGTTCAGTAATCATTTGTCTAAGTGTACAAGTAGCCAAACTGAGTCACCATATAACACTCAAAGGTAGTAAATAACATTTTTAAGAAGGTATCTTCTTATCAAATACTATACAGTGTGTTATAGTGACCCCTGTTGTAAGCTGGTCTACTGAAAGCTGTCACATGAATGCATCTTGAGTAAATAACCTTCTGTTACAGCTTATCCTTTTATTTTCAAGTTATATTACAAATTACATACAGTCATCCCTTGGTTATTGTGCACTTGGTTATCGCGCACTTGGTTATCGCGCACTTGGTTATCGCGCACTTGGTTATCGCGATTTTCGTTATCACGCTTCCATCAAAATCTGCACACCTGCCATTATAGCGCATTTTTCAGGCCGAGAATTTGGATATCATGCATTTGCCTCCAGGTGTAATGTTAACCCCTTGGTTCACCGACAGTACATCTATTGAAGATAAAATCTTTAACCTACATATTGACAATAACACATTTGCTCTAATCAGACATATCTAGTTGCCTCAACAATTGCAACCCCAGTTGCAATTGGGGTTGCAATTTCAAATTCTGTGTCATTAATAAGGAATAACGAAGTCTCTGGTGCACTCTAAGATTGAGAGAAAACGGAGGACTCAGGTGTCCTAAAGCGAGAGAAAACTGACTCCTATGACGGGGCACTCAAATAAAGAAAGCATAGCTACATGTTTTGTGGACTACCCACTGTACAGTATTGAGCCTACCCTTTTCATCACTTTGTAATAAACCTCGTCATGCCTGTGTGTTTCTGACAATTACCATAACATTATATCTTTAGTGGGTCTGAATGAAAGCGGTTGTTCAAACACAAGCACTCATACATTCCACTCAGACTGACAGACTTGACAAGTTTTACCAACCATAAAGACAGTTGAAGCTTTAAACATCACTCACAATGGATCTTGAATATTCCAACTGTAATGAGACATATCTAAGTTGCCTCAACAATTGCAACCCCAGTTGCAATATCAAATTCTGTGTCATTACTAAGGAATAACGAAGTCTCAGTTGCACTCTAAGATTGAGAGAAAACGGAGGACTCGGGCATCCTGAAGTGAGAGAAAACGGATTCCTATGATGGGGGACCAAATAAAAAAAGCATAGCTACATGTTTTGTGGACTACAGTATTGAGCATACCCTTTTCATCACTTTGTAATAAACCCAGCCATGCCTATGTGTGTTTCTGATATTTACCATAACATTATATATACAGGGTGAGCATAAAGTCTTTCTCTGATTACAAACATTTATTACACAAAACATGTGCTAGGTACAAAATTGCAGTTTTTTGCAGCTTAAAATATGCATGAAAAAAATCTATGAATTCGTCTACACAATGCTACAACATTCATGTTTCTATCTAGAATGGTCTTCGAGATATTTTTCATATCAGGGAAGGACTTTATGCTCACCCTGTATATATTTAGTGGGTCTAAATGGTCGTAAAATAGGAAAGTTGGGTTTGGGTCTTGGGTGCCTGGAACCAATTAGAATAAATCCCATAGGTTCTGTACTTTCGTTATCGCATTTTTCGTTATCACACACATGTGGCCCCAATTAGGCGTGATAACCAAGGGATGACTACAGTATTGTATTTTTCTCGATTACTGAAGATGTTATATTAATCTTGATGAACCATAAACCAAAAGAGGCCAAGAAGAATATAATAATGAATCAATAAATAAATAAACCCTGACGAATGAGGCAACACCTGATCAGCCCCAGCCTGCTTACACACTCAAGTGTCTTAGTTCTCAGTAGGCCTATGGCAAATCTGATTAGACCACTGTACAGTATTCAGTAAGTGTTGTTCATTTAATAAGATTTTTTTATTTAATCTTCCCCATTTCTTAATTTTGTATTTCTGGTGACCAGAGCATCTCAGAATCCGAAAAAAGTGAATTCCGATATATTGAAGTCGAATTTATTGAGGTCTACTGTACAAATTTTTGCAATCAATATATTGGGATCCCTATCATAAGTGCGGGTGATCATAAGCCACATTAGTGTACAGTATTGAAATAATTTCTTCACAACTTTTGTTTCGTTTACAAAACAATATATGAGGCTGCTGGTTTGGTGCATCTGCCACATAGTTTATAGCCAAGGCATTGACTAGAACTGCCTCCATACACATTCACTTTTCACACACCCATGCTCTTCATTTTCTTGTTTTATATTATATATTCTTTGTTTCTAAGCCACATCGTTTGTAGAGGGTAGAATAATTGTTAAAGAAGTCCGTTTTTCTGAGAGTTGCACCAGGATTCATCTGGTTAACATGCCAGTCAGCTGTGGCCTGTGAGAGATGGTATTGCATGTTGGCATTGTTACATATAATGAAACTATAAAAGTTGTGAAAAAATCATTTCAATATTCTGTGACGAAATAAATAAAATAAAATGATAAAACAAGAAATAAAGAGCATGGGTATGTGTTCTTTGTGGGAGGTTATCATAAGTGTGGAAGCCGTGGGCAGTTTGTCAATAGTGCATCTGGTAACTGCTGGTTAGGCCTATTTCAGTTTAAATACAGTGACCCCTCGGTTAACGAACTCAATCCGTTCCAGAAGGTCGTTCGTAAACCGAAAAGTTCGTTAACCGAAACCATTGTTTCAATGGGTTTTTGGGTAATTGGTTCCAGCTCACCGAAAATTTCCTAAATTCAACAAAAATGGTAGAAAAGTTCACTTACTTTGAGGTGTGTATGTAGAAGGCTCCTGGATGATGATGATGGGAATTAGAATGGGGGTGGAGGAGAAGGAAGAAGAGAAGGCATTGGGGTGGAAGAGAAGTCACCCCATGGCACCATTTCACCCATAAAATTTTAGTTCTCTTGGTGTATTTCAAGATTATTTTCTTTAAATCAACACTGCACTGCATTATATATTGTCAATATGTAAAATATATTTCAAAATGACCAATAATTTGCTTGGAAACACAGAAAAAAAGCGTTTAGTTGAAGAGAGTCTCAAGCAAGATGTTACCTCCACTGAAAACAGAGAGAGACTAACGCCTGTCTGGTGTGTTAACAGGCTGGATGGCACGCCAGAAACTAGTTTCTTTACCTTCAATTATGTTCAATAATTGTTAAAATGACTAAAAAGTTAATATTAAACTTTTAAAATTATTGAATAGTATAAACTTCTTGATATTTACTAAAATAGTAAGGAATTTAAGCCCTTATACCGATTACTGTATTGGCGGACTGATACTAAATCTGGTTGCCCGGTCAGTGCAAGCGAAAACATGTTGAGGTCGGTTCGTAAGAAATTCGTTAACCGAATTTTTGTTCGTTAACCGAATTGAAGATCCTTATGGAAGGCAGTTCGTTAACCGAAATTTCGTTAACCGAGGCGTTCGTTAAACGAGGGGTCACTGTATGCACCAGGTAACGATCTCCACTGTAAGCTTACTTTAAACTCTTTGCCATGATTGCTAAGTTGATTTCAGCAGAGAATATTTCAGAAAAATAATGAAGGCATAAAAAAAACACAAATTATACAAGATAATGCACACACTGCATTGCAGCTCAGCTCAGCTGGGATGTGCTGCCTCTGCTGACTGACCCTAAGCATTTGGGTTGTGTGCCTCTGCCAACTGACCCATAGCAACTGTTGCTAAGGGTCAGTCTGCAGAGGCACACAACCCAAACCCCTTCCCTGCTCACCCCTGTTCAGTACATGTGGCAGCTGAGGCCGAAAGAAGTGCGAGTGGAAGTATCTCCCCCAGCCATACTCTCCTACACACACTGCGGGTTTTTTCTAAGCCAAGTGCATGAAGTTGATTGTGCATAAGTTAAATGCGCTTAAGATGCGACATGTATATGGGTGTGTAAGTATGTATGTATGCATGTATGTATTTTAGTATGTATGTATGTACCACACGAGAAGGTGTCAGTACTTTCGAGTAAGCCCGACTGCATACCAAGGTAGAGAAGCGCCAACGCCAGAAAGACGCTGCCGCAGCCACTCCTGCACTAAATGTAGCCCCCCACACGTACAACATCTGTAGATGACCCTGCTGGTCCTGTATCAGCCTCTTGAGTCACCTCAAAGCTCACCAACGAAGGTGACATCAAAGTTGGATCATCGTCATACTCAATTACAAGTGACACCAAAGTAATAGTAGTAGTAGTGTGTGTGTGTGCGCGCGCGCACCCGCGAATCCCTCAAATCCGGAAATCTCCAATAACCGGAATTGAAATTTGCTCGGAAAGTCATTCCCACCGTCAGAATTTTCCCCAAATTAACAGCTTTGGGAAAAAAATTTCTGAGGTTGATTTTCTGAGGTTGAAAATCAAGAGAATTTTCTGAAAATGTCTTGGATAAAGATGAAAGTTAGTTACTGGCCTGATGGACTGTCAGGTCACCTTTCTTGGGTGGGGGATTAGTGGATCTCTTGACCTGAAGATGTCTTGAATAAGCATGAAAGCTAAAGTATTTTTAGGGAGATTATGATAAGTATAAGTATAAATGAGCAAAGTTGTATCCCTTCAACATTATATTACATAACATTTTAAAATATGGAGTGAGAAAGCAGAAAGGTGTTGGAGATTAAAGAGATGGAGTGGTAACATGCACCAGTGTAGCCAGGTGATAAGCTCCTCAATAGCTGATCTTTTAATGTGCCTTCATGCAGTCACACAACAAGACACACACACACACACACACACACACACACACACACTCTCTCTCTCACACTCACTCACACACACACTTCTTTTTCTTCTTTTTTTTGTATTAATCTACTTTTGGAAAAAAAAACAAGTTAAGAAGTGGTGTAAGTCTAGTAAACCAGAGTCAGATACATTTAGGAGCTAGTACTTGCCAACAGTGCATCACAAAGACGTGACCGACTGCCCATGCAAGAGGATAAGGTAAAGACAAGTATTGCCAAAGCCTGTAGGGACATGTGAAGAAATTACATACCCTACATAGTATACTAATGGCAGTGGTTATCGATATGTGATTGCATTACCAGTTTACTCATGCAAAATGAAAGTGCTAAGTGGCATACGGTGTGTTGCAGCACAAATTAGTACTGTACCCGATATGACCATATCAAATTATGATATTTTTTACTTTTGCTCTTAGACACGGGCTATACTGTACTTGGATTTAGATGAAGATAAAGGGGAGCTAATTTTTTTTACTCGTGTACGGTTAAGTACACACTACACTATATTTATTCTAGCAATTGCTGTATGTGCCACTAAAGCTTCCATTGAATTGTGATATCATTCAAGCTTTAGACAAAGATTTGGATTCTGTAAAAGTGTTGTTTCAGCAACAGAAAAGTGTGTTGTTTCTGTTATGATTAGACCAGTTGATGTGGAGGAAGAGAATCAAACATTTCAGTAGTGTTTCTTCCTCTGCAGGTGTAATAAAGAACAAAAGTCTCATTACCAATATTTTTTTCAGTGAAGAGCATGTTAAGTTTCCAGGTTTGTGAAAGCTTTATTTTATCTTTTATAGCTGTTAATGTGTGGGATTGAAGAGTACAGCATTGCTGACTTCAAAGCTAATCACGTAGTCAATGGCTCATCACCAGAGTTCCGAAGAGTACTTTATTGGTTCTGGACTGCGGTCTCAAATTTTACAGGTATGTATGTGTGTGTGTATGTGTGTTTTTTTTACCTTTGTTTTAATCATGGCTGATTATGCTCACTGAGTAGCTCACAGTAGCTTTAAAGGTGGATTATCAACTCTTTCAAGAACTATGTTCAAAGAAGCAAGGGGTGGAAAACCTTCAGTTGCACTTAATTCCATTGGCATGGATTTTTTGTGATTGAAGGAGGGGATGACTCCTGAGAACTTTAGAAATGTGCCTCTGAACATAATCATAGCAAAATACACCTATTACATAATTTTAAAAGGCATAATTTATTTTTTCTTGCTTTATTATCTGAAGTCTTCTGGTGAAGTAAATCCTCAAGTTCACATTATGATGTGTTTCCTTAAACTAAAGTAACTTGCTAGGATTACCCTATTATATATGACTTGACAGGCTGACCCTTTAACCCCTAGGCACAGGACTATGGTAGGAATACCCCCACATGGGTATTTCCAGAAAATTTAAAAAACAAATCAAAATTAGTGTTAATCATACATGTACAGTGGAGTTGCAGGCGGATCCAGGAATATCAAAGAGGGAGGTCCAAGAAGTTTCAGGTGGGGGAACATGGCAAGCAAAGCGAGCCCACCGGTTGGGGGGGGGGGGGTTGTTGGGGATGCTGTAAGCCCCCCTCCCCCAGAAAAGTTTTAAAATCTGACCAATATCATGGGCATTTTGAAGCCATATGCATTTGATATTAGGAGATAATCTGAGGTCAATAGTAATTACTTTTTGCTATTGTTTTGGACTGGTGGTCCTAGATTGTGTCAAACCTTAGTTCATCACCCCGGTAACAGTAAAAAATAACAAGGTCACCAATGAAATTAATAAATGAAGGGAATAAGCAATACACTAGAGTAAATTAAAGTACAAATTTATTTAACAAAAGAAATAAAGCATGTGACAAGTAAACAAACAAATCAAAAGACTAGTTGACAAGTATTAACTGATTTGGGAATATTCACCATTCAGCAGACAAACGAGTTACGTTAATCATAATTACAGTGACAGGTGAGCAAACAATAACGAGGGTTGGGGTACATCAACCAATACAAAACAAAGAAGATTAGATAATGTCACCGTTCTTCTACAGTATAATAATGTTACAAAATTTCAAGCCTAGTACACAATATTATATCCTACACACAATATTATATCCTACCCAATATTATATCCTATACACAAAAAATATTCTACCCTATTTTTCCTCCACTTTCCTTGACTCACACACTCAACAATATAATGTATACTTAAGTTAAGGTCTTTCTTATGTGTTGAACTCCTCCCACCGTTTCCACCTTCCTCAGCCACGTTAAACCTGCTTCTCCTCTGTCCAGTATACTGTACTATGGTCACCACATCGCTTTTTGGCAGGAATCTACAACCAATCTGTCATCAGGTTTCCAGTGGCACCATGAAACGTCACCTCTGATATTTCAGCCGGTTTCACACTTTCCATGCCCACGTGGTCTAGCTATGGTTTGTTGTGGTTGTTGCGGTAATTTCTAATTGCTGGTATCTACTCCCGGGATTCAACGTCACGTCACATCACACTATACAAAAATGCCTGCGTACAATACTGCATTAAAGGAAAATAATTGGAATTTTCTGATGAAAAGGAGGGGGTCTGGACCCCCAGGACTCCCCCTGCATCCACCTTTGGTTAGGTACCAGAAGACATCGCAAATTATGGTTTAATTGGTTTAAGTAGAGATACTATAATTAGATAAGACTCGAGGCCAAAAAATACACATACCTTATATTGCGGCCTATAAGTCAGCTTTTGAAGCTGATTTTTTTTTTCTTCAAAACTCGGGATCATCTTATACAACCAGTATAAAATGTCAACCTCTAAGCATGGCTCTGCCACTAGCATATGACTTTAACTTTACTGTAGCAAAAGGTCTCAGTGATTCGGTACTGGGTTGCAACTTAATTTCGAGCTCTCACAAACAAGTTTTATCTAACTGTCGCATTTCTCCAGAAGGGTAACTTTTACTGAACTCAGCCTATGGTCAGTGTTGACTCTAGTTATGTTATGGGAGCCCCCCTACACATAACAATGCCTTTCAAAACATTAAAATATTCATTTATTGAAACTCATTTACATGCACACACTGTCCTAAGGGCAAAGCTGTACTGTACATATAATCAAAATATTGTACAAAATGATTACTAAAATTTTTGTCTAGTATAGCACTTCTATGATATTTTATAAGCAAAAAAAAAAGCAAAACAAAATCAATCTAAAGGACAAAAATAAACAATTAAATACTTCAATAGACCTTTGGCGCTAACTGACAAACATGTCACTGTCACCTCCCCTCCCCCCCCCACCCAGGGTTTGGTGGTTATACAATAGGCTTTAAGTTTTTATCTTATATAATATCTCAGACTAAAGTTAGGAGAATATAATTTGCATTGCTGGAATCCTTGCAAGACAGTGAATAATTTGAATATAAACATCATATATTTTGCACAAGAGATAAAATTTTTAGTACATTACAGTATATATTTGTCTATAATCCTCCCTCGTTTATAGGTCAACCTTGATTTTTTGACCAAGAAATCGTTAATTTATGATATTCCTTGTACAGTTAAAATTTCACTTAACGCGTCAATTGAACCCAGAGGGTCCCTGCTATGAACTGCTAAGTGAACAACAGAACATATGGGATTAATTCCAATAGAAACCGGCCCGACCCCCAAACTCCACTTTTTGAAGGCACATACCTATAAAAATAACATCTTAATTTTATGATGGTGCATGCACACAATTAATACTTAAGAGAAATAGAGAAAATACAGTCGCTAAGCACGTCCATTCAAATAATGGACTCAACTCCCTCCCCCTCTCACACTACACAGCCGGCTAACAGATGGTCGGTCGGTCCCTCCCTCCCCCCCACCCCCACCCCCCACCAACCGCCCCAAGGAGATGTGTGGGATAACCTCAAACTAAAGTTAGGAAAATATAATTGACATGGCTGGATTCCTTGTAAGACCAGGAATATTTTGAATATAAATGTCATATATTTTGGACAAAAGATAACAGTTACCTAGAGAAAAATTTTTATCTAAAAATTGTAAGTTTAAAGCAAAATATATGATGTTTATATTCAAAATGATCACCAAATTATAAGAATTCCAGCAATGTAAATTATATTCTGACCGGGTAAATTGTATGAATTTTATGAGCTAAAACAAATATCTTCAGTTAATAAAAAAAAAATAATCTTCACAACACTGTCAATCAAAGTACCCCACCTTGCCTCCCCCCCTCTTCCAACCGCGCAGTCAGTCCCAACCCTCCCCCCCACCCACCACCAATCCTCCCTTCCAGAGTTTTTAACATTTAGTATTAAATAATACCTCAGATTAAAGTTAGGATAATATAATTGACATTGCTGGATTCCTTGTAAGACCAGGAATATTTTGAATATAAATGTCATATATTTTGCACAAAAGATACCATAGTTACCTAGAGAAAAAATTTTATCTAAAAATTGTAAGTTTAAAGCAAAATCTATGATGTTTATATTCAAAATGATCACCAAATTATAAGAATTCCAGCAATGTAAATTATATTCTGACCGGGTAATTTGTATGAATTTTATGAGCTAAAACAAATATCTTCAGTTAATAAAAAAATAATCTTCACGATACTATCTGTCAATCAGTACCCACCTTGCCTCCTCTTTCCAACGCGCAGTCAGTCCCAACCCTCCCCCACCCCCCTACCTCCCCTTCCAGAGTTTTTAACATTTAGTATTAAATAATACCTCAGATTAAAGTTAGGATAATATAATTGACATTGCTGGATTCCTTGTAAGACCAGGAATATTTTGAATATAAATGTCATATACTTTGCACAAAAGATACCATAGTTACCTAGAGAAAATTTTTATCTAAAATTGTAAGTTTAAAGCAAATCTATGATGTTTATATTCAAAATGATCACCATTATAAGAATTCCAGCAATGTAAATTATATTCTGTCCTGGTAATTTGTATGAATTTTATGAGCTAAAACAGGCAGTCAGGCAGGGTGGCGGGTGGGGCAAATCTAAAAATAGCGTCTTCGGACACTCAGGCGTATATGTGGAAAAAATCAGCGTTAAGTGAAAGTTCAGCTTTGGCAAGGCACGCATATATCACAGCGTTAAATGAAACGCGTTAAGCGGGGTAAAACTGTATATAGGTCGACCCAAGTTTTGAGGGTAATAGAACAACAAAACCTTCAGTAAAACACTCTCGTCCTAAACTGAGGCTCGCAATGCCTGAAACACAGAGTGCGAGGCAAATTGTTTACCATTTTCTTATTACGACACTTTACACTGAAGCAGCGGGTAGTTTCAACAAAAATATTGTATATTTCCATTCAAGTATTTATTCAAGTCAATTAGGAGGGAATATTATTGTAATACAACAGTTTTTTAACTGAAAACCATTCGAAAAGCGATTACGGTAACATCTTTTGAATGAAAGAAAGCGAAAGTCATTTAAGGGCAATTTAGGGGAATTTTAGGAGTGTTTATGACTTTATGCATTTTTTGGCTTTACTTTGTACGGTATGTACTTTTCTGTGAGCTGGAACATATTACCCAATATTCATTGAAATAATTTATTAGTTAACGAATGACTCTGTGGAACGAATTGTGTTAGATAACAGAGGACCAACTGTGTGTTTATATATATATATATATATATATATATATATATATATATATATATATATATATATATATATATATATATATATATATATATATATATATATATAAATATATATATATATATATATATATATATATATATATATATATATATATATATATATATATATATATATATATATATATATATATATATATATATATATATATATATATATATATATATATATAAATATATATATATATATATATATATATATATATATATATATATATATATATATATATATATATATATATATATATATATATA